AGTCACAGCGCGATTAGTTATAGCATCAATTATCGGGAAATAAAAAATATTCGTCCGACCCTTCGCATTTGTTGGTGTCAATCCGATCCAATCCATTCCTGGGTAAGATCTGATACGATACGCAGGAACCAACCACTTCGTGACCTTCAGCATAACCAAGTCCTTGACATCATGGAGTTCAAAATGTGGTATGATAAGTTGAGCTTGTTGCGTAACAACTGTGAGCAAATGTAATTGATCATCAAGTGCTAAAAAGATCAAGGGCACATCAACAGTTGGCTGACCAATGGCCATGGCTTTCACAATAGATCCTGGGAAAGTCGATGCACGCACAACCAATCTAGGAGTCGTGTCACCCTGTCGAGAAGCAATACTCTCTACATCAATCTGTATTTCACCTTGCTCAGACAGTCTCAATTGTTCATGTTCTGTCATATCAGCCCATGACACGTGTTTATCTCTATCGTTCTTCAGAATATCAATACTATCACCGTGATCAGGTCTTGCAAATGGTTTTTGGCCTGTGTTTTAGGTCCACCAGCGAGTATTTTTCTTCTCTGCACTGACAGAGGACCTTTTTGAGGGTGCATGTACTCTTCTGGCCCTTCGTATGAGAGAGGGGACTCAGGAGCTAAACAAGTATCATCATCAGTGTATTTACTAGACTCATGATCAATCACAGGTGTAAACTCAGTCTGTAGATTCAACACGTTTTGTTCTGCTAATGGCATATTCAACGGAGGCAGGTTTAGAGTGACACCCACCGTTGATGCAATAATGGGATGACCAATAAATTTTTTTGAATCCGAAACAACTGCGGCTGATAGTGAGGGCCTACCCATACCAACTGAAGCCAAAGGAGGACTAGAAGTTGGGCCTCCACTGGTCGAACCTCTCCCAAATCCAGAAGGAGCAGATCCTGATGATGTGCCCTGTCTAATCATGGGTGAGGGGGGTCCTGAAGAAGGACCCATACCAGATGTCTGGCCTGTCGAGGTCTGTACAAACTTTTTTGGACATTGAGAGTCACCCGATTTGTGATCGTACGATCTGTACTCCCTGCGCCAGGGGGTGTCTTGGGTCACAACTTCAACTTTATGCCAGCCATGGTGTGATTGAACTTTGAGATATTTACTGATCCGAGATTTAGCCGAGGGTGAAGATCATATCTTCGATTGACGAGTCGAGGTTCCAGTTTCTTCTGCTCTGGAGGATAAGCAATGAGTGACACTCTGAGAAGTTGAGAACCCTAATCCAATATACTGAAGCCTGAACGTCCTTTATGAATTTTGCTTGTTCAGCAGGGGTAGCCCATGGTTTGTATAACACTCTACATATTTATCCCCCAACAATCACATGTTCCTCTTTTTGCACTGTATCTACCAACCAATTTATGAGGGCATGGTTAACTGCTAGATAGAAAAGCATATTAACTCCGTCGGGCTTAACTCTACCCCTGTGTCCACTTTCCATGGTAGCATCCCATCCAACTTCCAGCGAGCGGATCCATGATTCTTTATGTGCAAAAGGCACGTTGTTTTTGAGGCTCTGAAATATAACTAAAACTGCGTGGCGTCTCAGATACTCAACTGTAGCATCTGAGGCCGTTGGGTTAAGATCAATAATGACCGTATCAGAGCCTTCCTCTCGTGAGGTGGAAATATATATTTCCGCTACATCATCATCATCTTCTCCAGAAAGGAAGCAATACCGAATCATATCACACAACTGATCTCTCTGTAGATCCATTTGGATACCTCAACTACAAGATCAGAGTGGTGGGGCAATCAGCCGTTATGAAAAATTAGTTCAGCAGAAAAAAAGACCAGAGGTTGTCTCCATAACCAAGCCCGAGCACAATCCAAAGACAAATACCCACAATCCACAAATAACCGAAAAGATAATACTTGAGCATTCATGCATCTCTCAGAAGCCAAGGGCAGGTTATTCCCACTGTGAGAGGCTCGCAACCTATTATCCAACCCTGATCAAGTTAACAATGCAATACTTCCCTCCGCCCAAGCTTCGAACCAACTGATGATGGCAGAAATTTCAACCATCTCTTATCAGTAGACCGATTACATCCTCAGTTCACCATCAGTCAATTGCGCCAAAGTACTATCATTTAGGTGAAGCAATCCTTAACAACCAAGTTTTAAGGTCGTATTTGAATTAACACCTCTTCATTTTCACCCGCCTCAATTTCATATGGAAGAATCAAGGAAAATGTTTCGTCACCTTTCAAAGTATTCCCTATCCCGAGATACCATCACAGTTATTCCATCTAGCGAAACTGAAAACTATCTTCGGCAACCCAATCGTCATGAAGCCAACGAGCTTTCCATTCAAACAGTCTTTCGTTAAATCAATACAGAGTCGGCAACTGAATTAAGCACAACAAATATTAATGTAAATTGATCCATCCAACATGAGGGAACCTCTAAATAATCTTCGATTCAAGGCACAAGCTATAAAGCCCCGATTCTCCTTTCTCCAATCAGAAGAGAACTAATCACCCTGCTCACCATCACACATATTCCTTGTTCAACGAGGGGGAAAACTATTCACACAATCGTTGGAATCCCGATCATTAGGGTAGGAGGGATCATTTGTCATATTACCTTTAGGCGATAGTTTGCAAACTCAACCACATCGTTGTGTTTTGACTACAAAGCCTACATTTCTCGCCAACATCAGATGTAGTATCGATCTACCACAACTTGCCCAACGAATTCCATATCATTAACTCCGAATTTCGATAAAGTCAATATCAACTTGACTATGAAGCCCACTCTTTTCTCCGACATGTATTACAGATCCACCACGGCTTGCCCTCCGACTTCCACGTCATCAACTCAAAGTTTTGAAAAAGTCATTATCAATGAGAAGGATGGATAAACCATTGTCCAAAAGTTCCATATCTAAATCAGGGGGCAAAGCCCATGACCGGCTACAATTTATGATTTCATGCGGCGCCCAGATCCTGCCGTCTGACTGACCCCACCTACAAACATTCCGCACTCAGCCAATCGGGATTGCCGACCAGAGTCGACCAAGACCAGGCTATGGCAGGCGCATGGCAGTGCACCCTTGCAGCAATCTCCACCCAACGCCCTACACGCTCAACACCTCATCGCTGCCGCCAACCCAACAACAGGCTCTAGCACAACCACGCACGCAACTGCGCCTTCGTGATCCCCCGTTGCCCAAACGCTGCCCGCTTTACCTCACGGTCACATCAAATTCTTCACCGATCGGCATTGAGCAGAGTCTACTAATGTTCGTAGGGGAGGGGACCTGAAGGGAGGCACAAGGATTGGTCATGTTGGCATGGTCCCTGATGCTACCGGTTGTCCCCTAGCCGGTATGGCCCACCTGCAGGTCGGGAGCAGCCCCCGAATGTTCTCTCGTGAACATGGTTCTGGTTGCTATTGGGTTCCCGTATGCCTACAATTAGTAGTGGTAGGTAGGTAGTGTGAGGTGAAATTGAGAGAAGAAGAAAAAAAAAAAGAAAAAAAAAAGGGAAATTTTTGAAACGCCCCTGAAGTTTGCATTTATTTGCGTTTTGCCCCTCCGATGGCCGACTTACCCTGATTTGCCCCTGGCGCCTCTGAACTTTCGTGCAGGCCCTTGTCAATGAGGGGCGCAACTTTTGGGAATGTCCCTACCGGGCCGCCGGTCCCATTTCCCGTGGTGGCTGTTCGATTTGCCTTTTCGCAATGAATGCATCTTCCTCGGATGCCCTCCAACAGGGAGGCCCTAAGAATTCGAATTCAAACTCCTTGCTTTCCAGGCCGCCGCCGTGCGAAAAAACAGCACTCCACTCCACGTTCTGTCCACTGCTGCAATCCACCGTGGAGTTCATTCTTCTGCTACTGCGACCTGCCGCCGCCTTGGACGTCCTCGGAGTACGTTGCCGAAGGTGAGTGTTCCTCCCCTTCTTCCACGCCTCTCTCTCTCTCTCTCTCTCTCTCTCTCTCTCTCTCTCTCTCTCTCT